GCTTGCGCCGTTGGCTCACCCTTGCTCACGCGCTCCCGCCACCGCTTCATCCCTGCTCGCGCCGCTGGCTCGCCCCTGCTCCCGTCGCCGCCTCGCACGCTGGCCGCCGATTCGCCCCTGCTCCCGCCGCTAACCCTAGAACGCAGTCGTGAGGAGGAGCTGAAAAGAGCGAAGGGAAAAAAAAGGGTGGGCCGTGAGGGTTACCGCGCCTCACACGCGTGCGGAGGTGGGATGAATCCGTCCACCAGTTTTTGGCGGATGAGTTGGTCCCGAATATTGAAGGAATATTCTCTTTTGGAACCATCCTATCTCATCTAGTCTCTCAACCAAACACATGTAAAAATGGGATGATCCTATCCCATCCCGGGATATCCCTTCAACCAAACACATGCTGAGTAGATGGACTCCAAAACCACTAAGATCGAAGAGAGCGCAGAGTCGAAAACCCTAGAGTTTCGTTTAAATCAAAATACGCCCTACATAAAAACTGAAAGGTGAGTGATTATAAGTTATTTGATCTGTCAAGCTACCTCTCGCTAATCATTTTCAGCGTGAGAATGGAATTCGTCATGAAGCTCAAACCCAACCATGCAAGAATGGAATATCCAGGCATAAGATCGCATTGATACCAAAAGAATAAACATGATTCCATCAGGTTATTCCTTGAGAGTTTTAGTTCTTGGGGCCATTACCCTCACAAATTAATTCACAGTTCGATCCAAGCCGATCGATTTGCTCCCAAATTTTAAATGGTTTGTTTAAATTTGAAGTCGTAACGTGTGACGTCTCTCTCCCAGGATGTGGGGCCCACCTGTAGGGAGAGCTTTCATGCATATGCTCTGCCATATTCTCCCTCGTCAAGCAGAGATTCCAGCTTACAAAGAGCAGAGAAGCAGAGATGTCTCCTCCTATCATTTGGAATGACCATAATGCCCTTACCTGAAAACCCAATATTTTTTTTAAAGAACATCTTTTATGGGAAAATAACAAAATTAATATACAGATAGTTTGACTACTCCAAGTAGTTAGAAAGAAATCCAAATGGTCACAACAAGACCTCGATCATGTAAAAATAGTTGCAGCCGAAATTATGATGACGATACTATTAATTAAACATCAGCGAATACAAATAGGCTCTCATAGTTATTTGGAATTTTGGGAGATAAATGGGTATGGAAAATCCATATAATCGAAATGTTTCTTACTCAATATGAAAGAAAAATAATTAGTATCAAACTAATGTAATATAACTTATCATTAAGAAGAAAAGAGTAAATTTCACAGAACTACATATACTTGAGTCAAATTATCGCAAAACTATAGATTTAAGGTGATGTATCATAAAACTACAGATTTAACAATAAATTTATCACAAAACTACAGGTTTAAGGCTAAGTATCATAAAATTATAAATTTAGTAATAAAATTATCACAAAACTACAGATTTTGGGGTTTATTTCCTTAGCTCTGATATTATGTTTGACTTATAATTGTCCAAATTTTATAATTAATTGATGTAAAACATGTAATTTGTGATAACTTTATTACTAAATATGTAGTATCTTAAATATGTAGTTATGTGATAAATTTGGTATTAAATATATAGTTTTATGATGCATCTTGTGATAGTTCGGCTAAAGTACATGTAGTTTTGTGAAATTTACTCTTAAGAAAATGAAATTTGCTATGTAAGTTGTGATGTCATTGATGACATGCTTCTTATAAATAGCATCCTGGTACCATCTCAGGATGCATGTTTACATGATTGAATGATTAAAGAAATAGGGAGGGCAAACTTGTCCTGTCACAACATGAGAGAGTACGTAATATGAGTAATTTACTATATTCCAGGAGCAGAAGCTATGAAACACTATTGGTCAAGACGAGAGATTTTGCTATAGGCTTATCCTTACTTGCTGAAGACGGCAACGCTCATGTAACAAGCAATCGAGTATGCACGTACTCTACTTATCATTAAGAGGAAATTAACAACGTTGTAGCTTATAATTTATTGTCACTTACTTAGTAGAAATTCTCTCATATTCATAAACTATATAACTAACCATAATTGTGGCTTATAATTTACTGGACACAAAAACTATAGCAATCCACAATAATTAAATAGTCCAAAGTGATTTTATGGCAATGTTAGGCATGAGCCAAACGACCCCTTAATATCGTTAAAAACATACTCACATGTGTATAATTGTAGATACTACACTATAAAAAACATTTTTTCCGGATGAGCCCCGGCCCCCTCTAACTTACAGTCAAGCCGTAACATCGTCCGCCTATGATAATGTTGGTTTGGGAAAAATAATGCTATAATTTAAACCTTGAGAAATAATTAATGTCATGTAACTCCTACTCCATCATTGAAAAAGTACTCTTTTTTTAACAAAAAAATATGGCTACAACTTAGGAATATATTAGATACAACCTTTTTATGTTGTTTATATGGTTTAGGTACAAGGAGTACATCGGAGGAGTATTACAAAACCGTGTTGTAGAAGATGGAATGCTTGTTACTTAATTGTTAGACAGATAGGGTACCGTTCAAAAAGATTAATCGGAACATGGTAGGTTAATTGAAGTTATGTGGAAATTTAGTGTTTTTAACTAACGGCATACTCCCTCCTCCCAAAATAAAACCAACCTAGATAACGATGGAACCCATCGTTGCTTAGGTTGATTTATTTTGGGAGAGAGTATTTAAGAAACAAAAACTCTCCCAAATAGTGTAGTTTTTCGTTCAGATTCTAATAAGATACATTTGCATAATGCATAAAATAATCTATAAGAGATTCTCATAAGCTAGATTCCCACCCATTGCTCCTCATAATTGAACCTCTTCTAAACATGCCTTATGTAAGAAGCTGGACTGCTTAAAAAGCTAGAGACCCTAATAAAAGTTGCTGCTTAAAGTTACCTAGGCAGGCATATGTCGTAGATAATAAGCTAGCTCGGCTTGTTTGAGCTCGTTATCTTAACGAGCCAGCTCGACTCGGCTCATGAACGTTAATGTGCTAAAAGGCTAAGCTCGGCCCTGCTGGTGAGCTTAAGCTCGTTATCGAGCCATATCTTATTTATATCATATTAATAATTTCAAACTCATTATCATATTACATAATAATAAACACTAACTAATAAAGAACTCACTAAATAAAAATAGTTTGGATGTAATTAACATATTAAGCACTAACTAAAAAGTACTCCCTCCGTTTCAGATTATAAGATGTTTTGACTTTGATCAAAGTCAAACTGCTTCAAGTTTGACCAAGTTTATAGAAAAAAATAGTAATATTTTCGACCCATGATAAATTTATTATATATATATATATAATTATTAATATAGTAAAACTAATTTGGTAATATAAATATTACTATATTTGTCTATAAGCATAGTTAAGCTTGAAGCAGTTTGACTTTGATCAAAGTCAAAACATCTTATAACCTGAAACGGATGGAGCACTAAATATATAAAGATATGGTGATATCTTATACTAACGAGCTAAACGAGCAGATTGAGAGCTAGCTTGTTAAGCCCATGAGCTAAAAAGCTAGCTCAGCTCGACTCATTAACACTACGAGTTCGATCCAATCCAAACAAAACTTTCTACCAGCCGATCGATCCGAGTTATGAGCTTCAAGCTTTATTTTTTCCCCTCACCTATCAATAACCACGGTTCACGGTAACAAATAGTAAGTGCCAATGTTTTTTGGAAAAAGTACAATTTACCCCCGAACTATCGCGGTCAACCGAATTACACCCTTGAACTCGAAAACCAGACATTCTACACCCTCAACTATTGAAACTGGACAAATAAGTCCCGTGAACAGTGTTTTGAGTGCTTTTGACTTGACTTTGCACAAGTGGCGCCAACGTGGTAATCCAATCAGCAAAAAAAATATAAAAAACAATCCATGGTCCACCTGTCATACCTCTCCCTCAACCTGATCTCTCAACCCATTCCATCTCTCTCACGCACGTGCTAGGGCCAGGCAGCAGGCGACCGACAGCGGAGGCGGAGCTCCCCGGGCGGCTGAGGCGGAGCGGGCGGCCGACGGAGGCGGAGGCAGAGCGGGCGGTTGGCGGGCGGCTGAGGCGGAGTGGGAGGCCGCGAGGTGGAGGCGGAACGGGTGGTGGGCGGCAGAGGCGGAGCTTCCCGGGCAGTGCCGCGGCAGGCGGCGGAGGCGGAGCTTCCCGGGCGGCGGGCGGCTGAGGTTGAGGCGGAGGCAGAGCAGGCGACCGACGACGCTGTGGAGGAGGGCGTTGGCAGGGGCGACGTGGGAGTAGGCGTATGTGGCTGGCGGCAGACGACAGTATGCGGGGGACGGTGGCGCGCGGGGGGCGGGCAATTGGCGGCGGCGCGAAACGAGGAGGGGGAACCGGTCAGCAGGCTCTATGAAGGGAAGGGGAAGGGGGAGGCCGCAGCAGCGTCGGCGTGTCCGATTTCTTCAAGTCCGGCTTGTCCGAGCTCCACGCCGCCGCCTCGCTCCAAGTCCCGCTGCCCTCGCCGCCAATCGGTCGCCCGTAGCTGCCTCCGCCCCCTTTCGGCCGCCGTCCTTGGCTCCTCACCTGTTGCCCGCAATTGCCTCTAGGCGCCGGTGCTCTCTCCTCTATTCACCAAGAGAGAGAGGGAGAGAAGGTAGGATAGAAAAAAAAACCGATGACAAGTGGGCCCCACAATATTTTTTTCTGACTATATCGACATGTGTGTGCAGGTTGAAAACCGTTTCGAATTGAGTTTGGGTAGTAATTTATCCGGTTTTAAGAGTTTGGGGTGTCAAATGTCCGGTATTATAGTTTAAGTGGGTAAATCGTAGTGCCGCAATAGTTCAGATGGTAATTCGCACTTTTTCCTTTTTTTTTAAACAATACTGTCAATATGTCATTATTTGAAACGTTGCCAGATGGTGGGCCCGAGCTAAGCAAGATGAACCCCCAGGGGCAAAACGGTCTCTTTACCACCCCCCCACCCCTCCCCCTCCCAGAGTCCCAGTCTCCCTCCAATTTAGCCTACCCCCCTCCCCCCCTCAAACCGCAGCAGCGCCTTCCAACTCCCACCGGCGACGATCCCCTCGCGGCGAACGCGCGCGCGCAACGAGAAGCCAAGAAACCCACCTCGCCTCGCCTCTCCCTCGCCATCGCCGATGGGAGCCAAGGGCGGGATGGCGACGGCGGCGGGCACGGCGGTGCTGGTGTACCTCGTGCTGTCGGGCCGCCTCTGCGGCGACGCCGCCGGCGACGAGGACCAGACGATATCCGCCGCGGTGTCCGCGGCGGTGGAGGCGCGGAGGAGGCGGAGGAAGGAGGAGGCCGGCCGGGCGAGGAGGCGCGGAGCGCGGGCGCGGCGTTGGCCGGAGCGCGCGCCCGCCGGGTGGGGGGAGGCCGCGGCGGCGGCCGCGCGCACCGTGCGGTACACCTACGGCGAGACGCTCGGCAAGTGGCCCCTCGGCGAGATCGCCTTCGGGCTCAAGTACTACATGCGGCAGCAGGTGCGCTCCTCCCTCCTCCCTCCTCCGCCGCCGCCGCCGCCGACGACGAGCTGATTGATCGCTAATAGCCTAATACTAGCACAACTATGACTAACTGCGCCGCCATGGGAGATTATTCGGTCTTGCCGTGCTCTCTGTTCTTGCGAGAGATTTTTCTCTGCTTCTTTCTTTTCTTTTTTTCTCTCTTATTTTTTTTTGCCGATTTTGGGGTTCGTTGGAAGGAGGCGTAGAGGGGATTGGTTTCTTCCCGGTCAAAGCTTGCCGTTTTTTCTTCATTGGATTTTTGCTTGGATTTTCGAGGAACAAAAAATATCTCCATCACATTTTTGGATTTAGAGAAAACAGAATCTCTTATCTTTGTTGCTTGCAAGCAAAGAGAACAATGTGCAACCACTGCGTGAATAGATTTTTCCTACTCACTTATTTTCTTCTCTTTTTTTTCTCTTGGTATTTAGTTATTTACAGCGCGGTAATAACTGGTATATTTAGCTTTTTTTTTGGGATGATTTTCTCATTTGGGACTTGGCGGCAAAACCGATATTCGTCTTACCCAGTCATATCCAATGTGTGATAAGAACTTAAGAAGCATCGAAGTAAAAGAAATAAAAATTAGCAAGGTGTTGGATTAGTTCATGACGTTATGTGACTCTTAAGAAAGACTAATGTGATTCTGTGGCTGCAGTTCTACCGTCCATTGCTTGGAAGTTACCAGCCTTCTCTTAAAATTTTCACCAATGTATAAAGCCTACTTTGCTTTCAAAATAACGAAATTTACTGCAGCTACTTTAGGCTCGACGATGCAAAAGTTCATACTCCGTATATAGTTAGGTCTGAACCCGATAGGTGATAACTAACTTTGGGAAAAGATGATAGTTGCTTGGCTGCTCAAAGTATTCTACATTCAATAAACAATTTACTCCATTGTCTTCGCCGCGTTGTTATCAGCCCTTTTTGTTGTTGAAGTACATATTTTAGCATGGCCATGAACACTTCACTTTACTTTTTTCAGGGTAATCTTCAGCATGAGTATGCTGGAAGCAATTCTCAACTATTGGAAGGGCCTGTGGTAAAGGAGGAGCTAATCTCACTATTAGGATACCTTAAGCTATGCATGTATTTCTCAAAGAAGCCATACAAAGTGTTCATGGAGTTCGGTGGATATGACGAAAGCGATGTTCTTATAAAGAAATCTAAGGCGAGGGTGCGTAAGTATCAATCGACTTTGTGTTGTTGGATATAAACGGACTTCTTTAATTTTAGTACATATACAAAACCTGGACAAATTGATTGAAATTATGTGTTATTGTTGTGCAGCTTATGAAGCCTTCTTTCACAGTTGTCCGCGATAGAAGTGCGAAATGCTTCCTCCTTTTTATTCGGGGGGCGATCAGCGTTAAGGATCGGTTGACGGCGGCAACCGGAGCAGAGGTTCCATTTCATCATGTTGTGACACAAGATGGTCATGTCTCCAAATTGGTGCTGGGACATGCTCATTGTGGAATGGTAGTGGCAGCTCGCTGGATTGCAAATCAGGCCATTCCTTGCCTCAATGAAGCGGTTGCGCAATTCCCAGATTATGGAGTGAAGGTAATTTATTTCCCAGACCTTTACAGATGCAATTTTAAGTTAATTGCAATTAGAGCCTACCCACTAGTTGTCAAGTTGGACCATTCTTTTATGATGCAGTTTATAGAACATTTCTCTTCTTACTCTCATTTAGACAGGGATATGCCACCAAAACCAAATCATAGTTTAGCAGTAATCTTCTAGGCTTATCTTGAAACATGGTTCAAGGGAGATGTTTTCCTATCCAAGTTACGCCAAAATTTTCCAAAACATGTGCAAGAAAGCAAGTGGATGGGAAACATGGAGTTTTAACCAATTAGAAACAAGATATTATTCCTTACCTTGAAGTCAAAGTGAGAAAGACTTTCAAGTACTCTTACTATGCATATTTTATGGACTTCCTAGGATTCTCTAGTGCTGAGAAAGACAATTCAGAAGCGAGCATAGTTAGTCCAAAAGTAAGCTAAAAGTTGTGCCTAGTAGTCTAGCACAAAGGGACAAAGTGGAAACAGCACTTAGAAGCTCAACAATTTAGACTAATAACTACGAATTTTGTTTCACAAACTAGTAAAACTGTTATTGCGTATTTTGCTTATTGGCATACATCGTGTATTTATTTATTATCCAAACGACCATTATACTTTATTTAGAGAAAGTGTGCAGTCTACACAAACCTATGTAGCCTTTTTTTAACAATCTCAATGTAGTTGCATTCATTGTAATCAAGTTTTCTCGTGGTACAAGATGATGAACACTGTGCACTACATCTGATCATTTTTGTTTGCTTACTCAAATCACAGCATTTCTGTTGTTATATATTTTAGATCATTGGGCATTCAATGGGTGCTGGCATCGCTGCAATATTAGCATACATTCTGCGTGAGAATGAGAAGTTATCATCATCCACATGTCTTGCATTTGGACCAGGTATGCATCATGGAGCACAAGCAACTAGTTTACCATTGTTCACGGACCTTGGAATTGCATTCTTAACATAAGAAAATATATTTCACTAAAAGGCCATATTAGCACCTTACACACCAATATAGTCTCATGGAATGGCATTTGCACGCCTACAATTTAAAAGCTATTAATTAATTGTTATAAAAAAATTCTAGCTTTAACTATTCAGCAATGAACAAATGTTTGAAGGATCTTATGATTTTTACATATTCAATTTTTTTTGGACAAAGATTACATGTCCAATCGATCGCGATGTACATATACATCTGTAGAATAAGTAGAATAACTCCATGTTCTTCTTTTGATTCTACAAAATTATGATGTAGAAATACTTGATGTGAGATAGTAATGCTCCCTGTCCTACTATTTCTGTTCAGCTGCTTGCATGACATGGGACTTGGCTGAGTCGGGTAAAGACTTCATCACAACCATTGTCAACAGAAATGACCTAGTTCCATCTTTTGGCAAAGTTTCTGCTGCCAAGCTCCGTACAGAGGTACCTCTCAGCTACCTGAATTCATGAGCAGATTCCTAAGTATGACGATCAAAACGGGAACCAAGAACTGTATCGCAGATGCAGTTCTTTAGAGCATATCATTTATAAAATTCTTCCCTGCAAACAGTTCTTGGAAGCTAGTAAAAGATAATCATTGCAACATATTTACCGTCGCGGTCATTGATGACAGGTCATGGCATCATCCTGGGTACATGACCTTCGTGAGCAAATTCAGCAGACCAGATTCTTGGGCTTTGTCAATCGCTCTGTGAGCTTCATCCGATCGCACGTGCCATTCGTCTCTGATCCAAGATCCAAGGTTGTAGATGTTGACATGCTGGTGCCCAACAGCTCTGAGGTATGGCAGCTAGATTGTTGCAAACACCAGTTCTTCGAACAAGCTAATCATACTTGTCACCTAAATAGTTGATTCATGATTATTTGGCAGGCTGATCAGGTGAAGCCTTCGTCAAATTCAGATGCTGTGGTGAAGAAACGCCATGCAATAGCTTGCTGGTCATGTGTTGCTGCACATAAGCATTCCATTGACTCTGCAAAACATGGAACTCATGACATCACAAATCAAACTGATGTCAATGTCAAAGCTGAGAAAACTGACATCGAAACGGCACAACTAGTCTCAATTTCCATGGAAGAACTTGACCTTCAAGAATCAGATAATGACGATGATACCGACAGAGGGGAGAATGAGCCAGCTCTCAATGAAACAGACGAAGATCAGGCCGTGGAGCTTCTAGAAACCTTGACCGACAACCCACACGAGCCGTCATCGTCGAGCCAAAGTCAAGATCCCCCCCAGCTCTACCCTCCAGGAAGAATAATGCACATGGTTGGATTGCCATCATCATCAGAGCCAAACAGTACAAGTGAACAAGGTGAGGAGGTCGTTGCCTTGTATGAGACACCTCGACATCTTTACAGCAAGATTCGCTTGGCGAGATCCATGATAAGGGAGCATTACATGCCCAAGTACATCAGGACAATGGAGCTGTTGATCGACAAGCTCGTCGCCGAGGAGGAGGACGGCATCGATGACGACCACAGATTGGGATCATTGTAGCATTGGCTGGTGTACAGAATAATTGTTGTTGTTATTGTTGTACAGATTATGGAAAAGAAAAAAGGCAGCATGGTTTTCAGATTGCTAGTAGCTGTACCATAGTTCTGATGATTGTTTTCATGGTTTGTGGTTAGCATCCAGGAGGCTGTAAACTCCTGATAGATTGTGTTATGATGATTCGCTGTCATTTCCTTTTGACAGCGGCCATCACAGGAAGGGCTAAAGAGCTGAACCTCGTGATGGTTTCTGTAATTCAGAAGCAATTTGTTTGTTTTTAGCTGTGAATATTAATCTCCAAGGAGATAGGCTAATCCATGACATCTCTCTGAAATGCATATGCGTACTAACTTTAATTTTATTTCAAGGATGTATGTTAAATTCAATCTGGGGCTGTGTCATATTTTTCTTCTTCTTTTTAAACTGTCATCTGCAATTCTGCATTAGATCATACCTTTCTTATGTCATGCGAGTTACACAGTTTCGGTCATTCAGACTGTCTTCTTGATCTTTTCATATCTGAGCTTTGTGATGCACCATGAGACATTTAGTTCATGTCGCTGCATTTGATTATTCGTAAATGCACTAAACATCTTTGGTTATTGATTTGACCACTTTTGGGGAATAAAGTGTTAAATGGCACAGAGCTGTTAATATAACTTCGTCTGTTGGGGCAAAATTTTTGGCATATTGAATATAGGACTACAAGTAATAAGTTTGCATCATAACATCTCGTAAATTCGGTCCACAAATACGGGTAAATTTGGCCCTCAAGTGCAAATAAATTCGGCAAAAACTGCGTGTAAGGTAGGCCCATGAGTGCAGTTTCGGCCCAAATTTGCCCGTAATTAGGCCTTAGTAAATTTTGCCCCCAAAATAGGCTTTAAATTTGGCCCAAATACGAGTACAAATCCAGCCCGCAATGCCGGAACCTGCACGTTATTTCAGCCCAAAATCCGCACAAATTTGGCCTAACCACCGCGCAAATTCAGCCCAAAGTATGCTTAAACTTGGCCCAAAAATACGTACCAAGTGTGGGTAAATTCAGCCCGTCACTGCCCTTAAACCCAGCCCATCCGTAGAACAAATCCGGTTCGCAAGTGGCCCCGAATCGGCCAGAGAATTTGGCCCAAAGTTGCGCGTCAATTAGGCCCAGAGAAGCGCGTGAATTCGGCCCGAGCGAGGTCGCGAACTCAGCAGGGCCAGCAGATATCACCACTCATCTAAAGCCTCCCGTGGGAGACTGACACGTGGGCCCCACACGTCAGCCTCTCCGACCCGTTTACCCCGACCCGCTTTACGGCCACAGCCTTCGTCTCGTCTCCACCGAACTCTTCCACTCCTCCGCATCTCGCGATCTCTTCCCCCCCCCCCCCCCCGCGCGCCGCCTCTCTCCGGCGAACCCCTCACCGGCGGCGGCGGCGGGGCGAGTGGGACGCCGCATGGAGCAGTAGGGGACGGAGCGGAGGCTGCGTGAGGTGAAGGGCGGGCGCGGTGGCGATGGCGAACTACCTCGCGCAGTTCCAGACCATCAAGTCCTCCTGCGACCGCATCGTCGTCGCCGGTACGGGTCTCCTCCTCCTCCTCCCTGAACCCTAGAAATGGCCCCGGGATCTGATCCGTCAAGCCGCGCGGCTGGCTCGGCCCGCGTGATCTCGGGGCCGCGGCGATTCGAGCTGGAATAGTGGGTCTAGTTTAGTTAGATTCGCAGTGCAGGTAGTTTGCATGTTTGCGTTTGTGTAAAATTTCATAGTGATTGAGCTCACGAGCAGCAATGGAAGATGCGGGGGGTTTGGTGGTTCCATGATCTGATTCTGGAAGCGTGATGCAGTGCATCACATCGGCATGAAACAACCCGTGTAGGATTCTCCCAAGTATAACTACCCTCATTCACTCACTGCAGCTCAACTTGCTAGCACATTTCTAGCTATGTTGGAAGATTTTCCTTTTAGGGCGTACAGTTTGGAGAATTACATTGAAAATGGGTTTGAACATTAATTGTTTTACTTCTTTGCTGCACATGCTGGTGGAAATGAATTTCAAGTTTGTTTATCTGTGTGGACTTCTTCTTATACATGGTAATTTGCGTTTTGTAACAGTTGAAGATGTGAGTGACTTGTGGCTCAATGTGAAAGAAAGTTTCGAGCAACGCTTACCAGTGAAGAAGGCCTGCCTCAATAACAAGGCGAGGAATCCTGTTTTTGTGGAAAACCTACCAGCTGAGTTTATACAGACCACTGATTCGAGGCTACGTAGTCGATTTCCACAAGATCAATACTTGTTTTGGTTCCGGGAACCATATGCAACTGTTGTTCTTGTCAGTTGCGAGGTACTTTCGTGTCCTCATGCATGCTGCTCTTTCTAATTCTTCTCAAGTAATAATATCACTTCTCAAACGGACCATGTGGATGACTTTTTGCATTCATTTCTCTCTATTGAAATCTCCAGGATCTTGATGAGTTCAAGACCATTCTTAAGCCTCGCCTCAAATTGATTGTGCAAAATGATGAGAGGGAATGGTTCATTGTATTTGTGTCTAAGGCCCATCCTAGCAATGACCAAGCATCTAAGATGGCAAAGAGAGTATATGCTAGGCTTGAGAGCGATTTCAACACTAAAAAAAGAGAAAGGTATTTGTTTGCCAATTCTGCATAACAGTATTGGTAATATTCATATCTTTGACTTTGAAAAATGTAAATGTTTTGGTTGATTCAGTTCAACATGCTATTTGCGGTCATCTTGCACTTATGTTGTTCCTATATGGATGCTCAACCTCCAAATTCCCAAGGAACTTTTTTTGGGACCTTAAGTTAAACTTCACTACAAATAGTATCGAGTTATTAACAGGTTTAAAAAGTATGGCCTTTTATGATGCAGATGCTGTAAATTTGATCTCCATGGACCTGATGCGGAATTCTGGGATGATTTTGACTCCAAAATGGTGGACTGCATTAGAAACACATTGGATAGGCGGGTTCAATTTTATGAAGAGGAAATTCGCAGGTTAAGTGAGCAGAGATTCACTCCGATATGGAACTTCTGCAACTTTTTTATTCTTAAGGTATAACAATGCAACCACGTTTGATGCTTGTCAGTTGAAATTATATTTTTAGTAGCACTGGTTTTATGAACAAACATACCTTTGTTTCATGTGGCTTTCTTGTAATTGATATCATTTATTTGTTTAGGAAAGCTTGGCTTTCATGTTTGAGATGACTAATCTTCATGAAGATTCACTCCGTGAATACGACGAGCTTGAACTATGCTACTCAGAATCAGGTTTTCTCTAACTTCGATGTAGCAGTTATGTTGCATTCATTTTTGAGCTTTGCATCTAGTACATTTGCATATATCCAAAAGCTTTTCTGCCCTAATCAATATAAAGGTCGCGGTATAAGATTTTTTTCAAGAGTGATGAAGTTTTTCATGAATTTGCAGTAACTCCGTACATCTATTCATGCTTATTTGGAGTCTTTGGACTAAGCTATGTTTTTATCGTTGCACAATATGTCATTCACTTCTCATAGAAAATATAGATTTTTATTGAAATCTTAGGTTAGAAATGTTTTTTTTCATGGATAGATTTTATAGTATTAGATAGAGGTTTTAAAAGCTGTGCTTCTGATACCAGATCAGTCAGATGACATTATAAAACATTAATATTGCTTCCAACCATAAACATGTAAAATTGTAAATCTAATTTCCAAGTTTTCCTTGTTCTTTCTGGAGAATAACTGTTTATTTACGAATTTTTTAGTACTTATCATGCTTCGAAACTACCATTTCATCATCATTGACTATATCTCATTCTTTTCTTCTGTCTTAAGGATCTAACTGTGGTGTAAAACTTATCACTTTGCTGCGTAAGTTAGTATATATTATAGAGATATCTAAAATAAAATGTAAGGAATATTGTCTTACAGCATGGTTTGTTATTAGTATTCATAACATTCTGTTCACATGAATGCAGTTAATTCTCCTGGAAAACATCGAGAATTTGGAGGATTGGATACTGGTGATGATCAAGCGGCGCTGCTAAATCCAGGATTTAAAGCATTGACCCAAATTGTCCAGGATGATGTGTTCAGAGAATTTGAGTTTAGACAATACATATTTGCTTGCCAGGCTAAGGTATAAGACATGTCGTAAAAAAATGAGTAACTGAATGCTATTTTTTCCTATGATTTTTTTTGTCAAGTCAGTAATATTTTTTTTCATTCTTACTTCATTGCAATCTGTTCTTCATTGCTGTACTGCTTGGTTCTTTTTTTATTACCAGTTACATGCCCGTACGTTGCAACGGGATCATTAGATTTTTTTTAAGGGTGGTTTTTTTATAAAGAGAGGGAGCATTTTTTTAGAGGAGGAAGGACAACGACTGCTCTTTTAAAGTAGTTAAGATGAGTTGGCAATGTCACAGTTAGAGAATACCATTGTATGTGTCATTGACATGTGTGTCCAGGCCCCACATGTCATTCTCACATACAATTGCAATTTGCAACTCACATATGCCTAGAGTGCTACTGTTTAATGGCGTAGCGGTGCTCTTTATTGCTCAATACAAACATGCACACTGTTTTACTCAAGTGGAACATGTTACATAAAACTAGACATCCAGTGCCAGAACTTTGTTCTGTTTTAGAGCTAGTTCAACTGAACCTTATATATTGCCTTTATACTTTTTCCATTTCACCATTTTGCAGTTATTGTTTAAATTGCATCGCCCAATTGAGGTTGCTGCAAGAGGATATGCTTTTGTGGTTAGCTTTTCCAAGACGCTAGCCTTGCAGGAGGTATGTACATTCTCTGTTTTATTCCTCTACAAGCAAAGTTTATGTTCTAGAAAGACTATATTGTGTGAAGTGTACTCAAGTAATTCTGAATGTGCTTTCAGAATGGTCTACCATTTTGTTTTCGTGAAGTATGGGTGATAACTGCATGTATGGATTTAATAAAAGCAACAACCTCACACTATGATGGTACAGCTGTTGCTATCGACTCAGAGAGGGAGTTCTGTCGTATTCAGGGTGACCTCTATTCTCTGTGCCGTATTAAGGTAAGTTCTGATACTTCTGGTAATTTAATATTGATTTCCCTGCTATATATCGTATTTTTATTCTATTTACGAATTTACATTTTCCCATGAGTTATTGAAGAAGTATGAATATTGGCCATTATCTGGTAGCTTGTTGCTAGGATTTAATGAATGTTGTCTAGAATTCTGTACTTAATGAGGCTTATTTGTTTTAGCATTGATGCATTGTGATTTGTAGAAGTATCTAGTAAGGCTGCGTTTTTTACCTCCCTTTCCCAACCTCCCTCCCTCGTTTTCTGCACGCACGCTTTTCAAACTACTAAACGGTACAT